CTTGATGTCAGTCTATATTGTCCAATCAGCTCATGTAATTTCTTTTTGGCGGGTTGGACTAGTGTCTAAAAATATTGAATCCTTCCAATTCAAATCCGTCTGATTCAATAGTATATTGAATATATATCAATCTATATTATAGCAGTCTTCCAGAAAAACTGCAGATTTTATTAATCCACCCAGACCATGGAATATACGAAACGAATGGCAAAGATTTGAAATGAGTTACGAAAACAAATTGGGTCAACATAACGAATATGACCAAAACAAAATTATTCAATGAACAAATGCATCTGAAACAAATGCAGGTTTCCGGCATACACATAATAATGTAAAAATAGGAATTAATAGGTATTGTTTATGAAGGGATTTTACATAATGGGTGGTTTGGTATTTTGGCACTGCAAGTGCAAAAAGTAAAAGGCAAAACCAATTAAACTGTATATTGTAGACATATTTCTATGTTAGATTGTGACTTGGTGGCAGTAAAAACATATGGTTAATCTGCTTTTTTACCTCCCTAGCTCCTTAACCTAACATGGCATCTGGAGAGAGTGGTAGACATTCCATAGCAAAAATTATACCACATGTCGCATTTGGAGGCCAGTACCATAATGAATGCAGTTGTAGAGCAGTGCTGCAGCCTTTCAAGGGTTTAAACAGAAGTCCCAGAGGCAACATATCGCCTTTGAACAGCCTGTCAAATGCCTCTGAAAAGTGTTCCACCACTGATCGTATTTCAGAGGAGCAGCATTGACAATTGCAAGTCTAACTCTCTGCACAAAACAAAAAAAACATGTAGCAGATATCTGCAGCATATGTACATTTCCTCATGTTTTATCATTTTAAAAATGCTGGTAGTACAAAGAAAGTACCTCTTGAGCCTACCAAATATCCAGTGAGCTCCTAAACTTTCTTTGGTCAACAGCACTGAACTGAAATCCCATGTCATGTGGTCAACCCTGCCTGAGTTCTTCCCTGCTTCCCTTCACTCCTCGCTTTTTCTCTCCACAGTTTAAAGCAACCTTTCTCAACCAGGGTGCCTTGAGCTTTCTTCAGGGGTGCCTTGGCAAAATCTCTGAAAATTTCCCAAAACGTGTATACAAGCCAGCGGGTGGACAAGCCTTTTAGTTACACAAAACCACAGATTTTCATTGTGTACCATTACGACCTTCTAGCCGCCTGCGTCCTGACAACCAATGACATCATCAGTTGATAAGGAGGATGTCACCTGCCTGCACGGCATCCTAGTTTGACCCTCCCCCGCCCCTCTCCATCAGTGCTGGGGTCACATTAGCTCAGTGATGGAGAAAAACTGAGGGAGAAGAGAAACACTGGGATACTAGTCAGTACCAGTGTGCATAAGTGTATTTTCTTTGAAAGAATAAATCACCTCTAATGTTGGGTGCCCTACATGTGTGGATGTTACTGTGTTATATAAAACTATTAGAATAGTTTTTTACATTTTAGAATGGGGTGCCCTTTTAAAATTATGGACAGTCTTGAGGCACGTCCATAATTTTAAAGGGTGCCTTGACTGAAAAAATGTTGAGAAACACTGGTTTAAAGAATAAATGTAGTGGTATTTTTTTCTTGAAATCAGCACCAGGGACAGTACCTATAAAGAATGAAAAGTTTCCTGTGTGCTGATGGCTGCTTTGTTAGTTGAAATCTTCATTCCTCTGCCCACAGATACCTCTGCAGATGTGATCTTCCAGTGCTGTGCAGTTTAGCCACTGGACCTGTCGCAGGCGATCATCAAAAGTGCAGAATTTGCCTGCCCGTTCCACCCGTCTCCTCCAATCATAAAATCTGTACTCATATTTCCGCAAAGCCCTTTATGAATGAAGTAGGCAGATCTTATATTCATCTATCTGTCCTCCATTCATAAGGTGCTTTGCAGGAAACAATATCATTCCTATACCTGACATCTCTATACTACCCCCCTCCTACCACCTCTCCTTAGCCCTTTACCAACTGTCTTCCTTACCCTACCACATTTCCTCCCCCTTCCCACCTGACCTCTTTATCCTACCTCCTGTCCTTGTCCTACATACATCTGTTCTCTCCCCACTACATCCTGTTCTGTCTATATTACCTTTTGTCCTCTCCCATTTTCCACCTGTCCTCTCCATCCTACCACCAGTCCCCTTTCCCCTTCACCTGACCTCTCTTTCCTACCTCATGTCCTCTTCCTCATACCTCTTGTAATCATCACCTGATAACTCTAACCTATCTTGTTTCCCCTCCCAGCTATCACCAGCCTACCACCTTTCTTCTCCCCCTTACCACCTGACCCCTCTATGCTATCTACTGACATCCCCCTACCTGTGCACCCCATACTACCACCTGTCTTCTCCATACCATCTGATTCATTTATCTTATCACCTCCCCCCCCCTCATTACCACCAGACCCCCCTATTCTACTACCTACTGTTCTCATCATCCTATCACCTGTCCTCCCTATCCTACCACCTATCCTCTCCTCCTTACCACCTGACCTCTCTCTCCCACCTCCTGTTCTCTCAATTGTACCTTTTGTAATCATCACCTGACATCTCCAACCTATCTTGTTTTCCTTCCTAGCTATCACCTGTCCTCCTCAACCTACCACATTTATTCTCCCCCTTACCACCAGACTCCTCTATCCTACTTACTGTGCTAATCATCTTACCACCTGTCCTCCCAAGCCTTCCACCTATCATCTCCCCATTACTACCTGGCCCCTCTATCCTAACTACTGTCTTCTCCATTCTTCCACCTATCCACCCCATCCGACCACCTGTCTTCTCCCCTCAAACATCTGACTCCTCTATCCTACCACCTTTCCTCTCCATCCTACTACCTGTCCTCTCCTCCTTACCATCTGACCTCTATATCCTACCTACTGTCTTTTCCATCCTTCCACCTTTCCACCCCATCCAACCACCTGTCTTCTCCCCTTACCATCTGACTCCTCTATCCTACCTCCTGTCCTCTCCAACCTACCACCTGTCCTCTCCACCTTACCACCTGAACATTCTATCCTACCTACTATCCTCCTCACCCTACCATCATTCCTTGCCCTCTTAGCTTCTGAGCCTTTTATCCTACCATCTGCTCTCTCAATCCCATCTACCATCTACCCTCTCCCCCTTAACTTGACCTCTGCATCCTACCTCCTGTCCACTCCATCCAACCCTCCGATATCTCCTTCCTACTTCTTGTCATCGAACCTCTACCACTTGACTTGTCTACAACACATCCTACCTCTCTCTACTGCCTCTGGTTCTATGCATAATGGTGTAATGGATTGTGTTAATCTCAGATAAAAGGTAAACTGAGTGAACTTTCTGACTTTAACACAGCTTCATTGTTTACTAGATGGCATTAGCTGCTCCCCAATTGATTTTACTTCTCTTTAATGTTATGCTTGTGACTTCCTAACATAATAATGCTATCTGTGCAATGCCACCCTGTACCTTCCCAAGCCTCACTGTCTGTCTGTGGTCATTTCTGTAAGATCAACAATTATGCTCGAATCTGAACGTTAGCCTTTTTTTTCCTCCTTTCTTCTTTAGTGGCTGAACATTTTGTTTAAATTAATGGAATGAAAACAATGGCCTTTGAGACAGGCTTTTAAATATCGCCATTAGTACACAATTTATTCTGCCGGCCAGACAAGGAAAATATAATTGCGTGATTACATTTATAATTAAAAACATTATCTTAAATTAAAGGATTTCTCCTAAATTGAGACGGGAATTTATTCCCAAAAGCTTTTGTTAGTTTCAACTATATTACTGGCTGGTTATTAAATTGCACCGTAGAAAGGGGTAGCCTCCCCCCCCCCCTCCTTCCATGAATGAAGATGGAATTGATTTTAAAAGTTAAACAGGCAATACAATGACATTGTTTAAAATTCAGATTTACCAAGGAGCCCATTCAGTACATTCAACATCTCTGTGCGGACAGGTAATCGTTTTGTTTTGTCACAATGGCAGGTTGAACGCACATGAATGCGCTCACGCAAGAGAACGTGATTGTTTATGCTGTTGCTGTGACCAACTCATCAGCTAAATAAACAACTGAAATGTGTATTTGTGAACTGTTTTACCTGCTATGAGTGATGTGCTTTTGTTTAGCCAGACTTGTGATGCCAGCACCCCCACCAGACAGCAGAGCCAGGTAAGTGACCTTATTGTTCCTCACAGCAAATAAGCAATACAGCTTGATCATTGTTCCTCCCCACTTGGCTTGTGATTGGACAATGAAGGAGCATCACCTCACCAAACTGGTCTAGGCATCAGTCCCTACCTTCCTCCTCAGCAAGCGCCCAGTGTTAAATTGACATCAATGCAGGCTATTACACTAAGCTAATACAAAGACAGTTTCAGGCACTTATTCTAATTGTATTTAAAAATATACTTAGACACTGTTACCTGCCCATTCATGGCAAAGGGACAGTACCTCTAGATGGAGCACCCCATACTGCCCCCAGGAAGGTATGCTTCCCTATTCAAGGAATATATACTTATGCCGCTGCAGGAGTCCACCCTGAGTAAGTTCTGGTGGCTATACCTTGCTGAGGTGTTGTACTATCATTAAGCACTGTCATTCTTCTCCGATTGGATAAAGTGATGGCGGCACTTTAATAACTGTATAATAAACATATATATGCATTGTAAGTGTTTCTGATATCTGGAGCTTTGGCACTAATATGAACCTTGGCTGTTCAGGATATAGTTAAGGTAAGATTTGTCTTCAGTGGCCACCCCATGTGACTTCTTGAACCCCCTTTAAAAGTGCTGTGACTTGGAATTGGTTGGAGAATGCAACAAAAGGAGCAGGTATGTCCAAAGGTAGCCAGGAACGTAGCTAGGAAGTATGGCAGGGAACGTTCACCATGAATCCCTTGTACGCTTGTAGGTGTCTTGGTCCTCTAGACTCTATATGAAATATAATTTTCTGGCTCGTTAGTCAAAATAAAGTGTCTGTGAGCCAAAAGCACTAGATACTGATCCATATAAAGCATTTTAATAAGAGTTATACAGGCAATAATATCATAGGCAGGGGCGGACTAACCATTTGGAAACTTGGGCACTGCCCGAGGGCCCGGGGTCAGTAGGGGGCCCCATGAGATGCCCCTGGTACTTTTTTCATAGGCTTTTTTGAGTTTGGGCAAGGACACAGGGGCCCCATGATCCCCTATTGCCCGGGGGCCCCATGATTTGTCAGTCCGCCCCTGATCATAGGCAATGATTTGTAGTAGCTTATTTATTGAAAGTTACATTATCAGCATTCAAAAGTGATCAATTTCCAATCAATTTTAATAAGATATCTATTAGAATTAATTGACTGTGAAAATAGGTTGAAATATATTGGATTAGTTTATGGAATAAAAATAGATCCTTTAAGCTGGGTTCACACTGATGCGGTGCGGAATTCACAACGTTTTCGGTGCGAATTCCGCACCGCATCAGAATCGCACCTCGTTCATGCGAACAGCTGTGAGTGTGTATGTAAAGTTAACAACACCCTGAAATCGGTCCGCAAAACATGGTGTGATATGCAGAATCGGATCACATAGGTGTGAATACCCATGCGATCCGATTCTAGTGCAGACCCAAAAAAGGGTCCTGCTCCTTTTTGTACAGGTACTGTGCAATTAGAGCCATACAGAATGCACTGCGGTTCCTGTGCAAATCACATGTGATGTACCAAGCCGCATATATGTGAACCCAGGCTGAGTCTTGAAAGCTGATCCATCATGACACAGCTACAGTACTTTGCCTCTGTGCAGGAGGTGCCTGTAATAAAGACTAGTCACTGCTGCTCTCATTCCCTGTGGGAGGATGAGTAGTCTTGTATCGCCCCCTCCTGTAATTTACTGCAGGAAGCCTTTGGTGGATGGGCCTGCTGGGCCCCACAACTCTGCTTTGTGCATGTATAGCACAGTGATGATAATACTGTTACTTTTAAAAGGCAATATTTGGGTATTTAATCCCACGGCATTTGTATTTAAACCCATTGAGTAAATATAAAGTTTTTGTGCCTGGAATTAAGCTTTAGGATTGATCTATCAACAATCAAAACCTATTAAACTAAATTCCAATCAAATGATCAGTAATTGCTACAGCCCCAAACGTCCATAAACTTCAAGAAGATAAATCAGGGACAGTCTGTCATTGCAAAAACTGATTTGATTAGGCAAAAGTTATAAACTGATCTGAGCGGTAAAAGGAAAAAGAAAAAAAACAGCATTTTTGTTTGCATGTGATTGGATGATGGAAGTCAGCAGAGCTTCTGCTCATTTACTAAGCTCTGGAGCAACTGCTCTTGAGTCCAGCTGCACTTTGCAAGGTGCACAGTCTATTTTCCTTTAGTAAATCAACCCCTATAGGTTTGTTATGTGTTCCCAATCACTCAGCATGTCTACAAAAAAGTTTGTAAAAATCTTTATCTATTTCTTAGATGTTTACCAGCAGGAGGTGTCATGGCCGACTGCAAGGTTTTTTGAATAATTTTAGAGTGAGCCTGTCCCAAATCTGTCCTCATCAATGCCCAGCCTCTATACCCCTTTGTTAGAACAGACAGGGAGTTATTTACTAAAACTGCATGGTACAAAATCTGGTGCAGCTCTGCATAGAAACCAATCAGCTTTCAGGTTTTATTGTCAACGCTTAATTGAACGAGCTGAGGTTAGAAACTGATTGGCTCCCATGCACAACTGCACCAGATTCTGAGTGCACCAGTTTTAGTAAATCTACTCTACTGTGTGGGCAGCACAGTGGCTAAATGGTTAGCACTTCTGCCTGGCAGTACTAGGGTCGTTGGTTCAAATCCCAAACACAGCACCACCTGCCTGGAGTTTGCATGTTCTCCCTGTGCCTGCGTGGGTTTCCTCTGGGTACTCTGGTTTCCTCCCAGACTCCAAAGACATGCTGGTAGGTTAAATGGCTCCTGTCTAAATTGGCCCTAGTATGTGTATGCAAGTCCCTAACCCTTCAGGGTTGGGGACTCATGTGAATGTAAAATACAGTATATATGTAAAAGCGTTGCATAAATTGATGGCACTATATAAGTACATGAAATAAATAAATACTGTGTTCAAATCCTGTTACAATTGAAAATAAGGATCTGCATGTACCAGGGGTGGACTGACAACTCATGGGGCCCCCAGGCAATAGGGGATCATTGGGCCCCTGAGTCCTTTCCCAAACTCAAAAAAGCCTATGAAACAGGTACCAGGGGCATCTCATGGGGCCCCCTACTGACCCCAGGCCCTTGGGCAGTGCCCGAGTTTCCAAAGGGTCAGTCCATCCCTGGCATGCACAGCACAGCACAGTACAGACAGGGTTAATTATGGCAAACCCAGCTGTCCAGCCCCCTCATAAGCAAAGAGAACTACCTAAAATTTTTTCCTTGCTGGAGGGTCCAGAATCGAGCATCTAAGAAAGGTAAATTGCAATGTTTAAATGTTTTTTTTTAAAGTTTTGCTATGTGAATAGGGACATGTAACAAATATAAAGTAGGTGTTATCCCAGTTTAGCTGTAAAAGTGGAGATGGAGTTCAAGAAGGATGGCATGGCAATTGTTCCAAGAAAGCCTGCTTTAAATGTATTTATTGCTGTATTTAGTTATATGTACCAGGTATAGTGTGATCCAAGTTGGATGCCCTTTTTGCTTTGTGGAATTTCATACAGCATGCACCCGGATAGAATTTGACAAAAGCCCTGTAAGTAATTGTACATATTTGTTGTACATCTATATTAATACATTTCATGAACAATTTTTTGCCATGACGGTGAATTAAAAAATAACAAAACACAGGTACCTTCGTTGTTACAGGCTCAGCTCTGTCATTATCTCTGCCTTGACAGGAGAGCACTGAGTGTGACAAAAAGGAGCAATTACCCTCCAGTGAGACAAAACAGAAATTCAGCATACTTGATCATCTTTTTTTTTCGTCTTTCAATAAAAAGTGACAGTTGTGTTGGAGGTATGATAGTTGTGAGAATACATCTTGACATGTGGGGCATTGTAACTGCATGGAGCCTTAGGTGAGGCAAAGGCCTGGAGTGACAGGAGGAGAGACGCACATAAATACAAAAATGTTCTTACACATTCCTTATCTGTGTATATGGATGACATTTCTATTAATGAAAAATGCAGTCATTTTTTTTTTAGATTTACATGAAAGACTGATCAGGTTGGTAGAAATAAACTTATCAATATGTGTTATTATTTCAAAGTTGAGCTCTGGCCCGCTCATAAATGTTCCCTTTTAGATGTTCTGCACCCTAGTAAGACACTATGGGGGAGATTTATTAAAACTTATGCACTCAAAATCTGGTGCAGCAGTGCATGTTAGCCAATCAGCTTTCAACTTCAGCTTGTCTATAGCTTTAAAGCAGAACAATGCTCACCTCCAATCCTGCAATGGGCTGTACCAGAGCTCCCGCCACGGCCGCTGACATCTTCAGGTGGCCGGCTTCCAGGTTTCGAACACCGGCGCTGTCATTGGCTAGGCGGGGATGATGTCACTCCTGCGCATGCGCTGGAGTCCCGTCAAATTTGGTATTGCCAAAATTGTGCAGTGAGCTGCACCTGTGTGGCTCACTGTACAGGAGCAGACAGGTAGGTAGCTTTAATGCAGAAGAGACAAAGCATGTCTCTTCTGCATTGAAAATCCTGCTTGTCCATCCATTTTTAATTTTTACCTAAAGTTCTACTATAACAATAAAACCTGGAAGCTGCAGAGCTGCAGCATAATTTGCACCATGCAGTTTTAGTAAATAGCCCCCTTATGCTCATTTAATCTAAAGGGATGTAGTAAGGAGCAATACACACCTTATTCCTCCCTCACCCGGCAGTTGATGCTCTCGTCCGCTCCCTCTCTGAATGTAGGCGAACCCTCATTGTGCTCATATGCAATGCAGAAATTCGTAAGGATGTATGACTGCCCTTATGTACATATAATATATGCTCAATACATATGCAGGCTCTTCTTCTTTCTAAATAAAAACTGATATAAAAGAAAAAAAGACAGATAGATTAAACTCTAAGGGGTTTAGATTAAACTCCAAGGGGTTTCCCACACTAACATCTACCAAACACTAAGGGATCTATTGATAAAATAAATGCTGTACGATTGTCACACAACAGTCTCGAATAATACACGGGATGTGTCTAATATGTTTATTTCCTATTATCGTCAACTTCATCTAGTGGCCATAATGCGGTATTTTCCTGAAACACCTAATTTAGGAAAATACTGCATTATGGCCAATAGAAGAAGCTGATGATCCTGGGAAATAAACATATTAGACACATATACTCCAGGCAACAAAAAAACAATTATCCCTGGCAGTAGTGTTGTGCCTGCACTGCAAGGGTTAATTGCTCCTTTAGTTCTGGGGGTACAATAAAATCAGATTTCCTTTTCCAATCCTCAGCCCCTTCTTGCTCCCCACAGTGTCTTCTCTCCAACATCCCAGTGGCCTAGGGCAGGGGCGTCCCTAGGGTTTTTGTCACCCGGTGCGATAACACTTGGTGACACCCCCTCCGACGATCCCTGCAGAAAGGATCTGATCTGCGGATTGAGACTCCGATTCCATTATGCTCCCCAATCCACAGATCCAATCCATCCTGTGGGGATCGTTGGCTTTGTTTACAACTTATCTTTTAGTGGAGCTAATCCGGTGTCACCCCGTATAGGTTGCATTTTGACGATCCACGCAGGATAGTTCGGATCTGCGGATTGAGCATAATGGATTGGAGTCTGATCCATTATGTTCCCCAATTTGCAGATCCAATCCATCCTGCGGGGATCGTCGGCTTGCTTTACAACTTACCTTTCCGTGGAGCGGGTCTGGTGTCACCCCGTGCACGCACCCCTCACACCTGCCTCAGGACGCCACTGGCCTAGGGTCCTGATGCCATCAAGACCAATGCATGGACGTGTTGATGCTGAGGGACAGGGGCGGACTGACAACTCATGGGGCCCTTGGGCAATAGGGGATCATGGGGCCCCTGTGTCTTTGCCCAAACTCAAAAAAGCCTATGAAAAAGGTACCAGGGCATCTCATGGGGCCCCCTACTGACCCCGGGCCCTCGGGCAGTGCCCGAGTTTTCAAATGGTCAGTCCGCCCCTGCTGAGGGACAATGTCCTACCTGAATATGGGGGAGTGAAGGATCAGGTAAGTAAATGTATTTCTCCTCTCCTCTAGATAAAATGAGCAATTAACCCTTGCAGGGCAGGTGCAGCCCCACTGCTAGGGATAGTTTTACATTTTTCCCAGAGTCAGGCTTTAATAGCCCGGAATTGCAAATTTCCCAGAAAATAGTAAATTACGTCTGTGAATAGCAAAAAGTTCACAAAATTGCTTACTGTGAATGGAAGGAGCTAGTTCTTGGGCCGTGTGACCATTATTATATATATTCTTGGTGGTAAAAATCTTGTAGGAGTAACATTTTTGTGTTTGATGGCTGTAGGCATGCAGTAGAGAATCTTTAATAAGACAAATACGATTTGTTTCACTATTACTGTACACAGTTTGGCAGGAACTCGCGGTTCTATTACACAGCCACATGTGGCTGTAAGATCGAAATGTCATTTTTACTTGTAGTGATTACTGTATATGGTTTTATGGAAATTAAATTACTGCCATTGCCAAAGGGGGATTTCAGAATGGTAGGAAACATTCCGCCGACTTCTTACAAGCTGCAGACATCCAGAAAGCTTCCATCCCAGCTGCTTCCATCCTAATGGATCTGTGTGCATTCCTTCATCATTTCTGAGATCAAAAGTTGTCATCCTATTAAAGAACTAAGGAGCTGCGGCAGAATTTTTATAAACTGCATGGCAGTGAGGTATTACATATGAAAAATAAATAAATAAATAAAACCTCTATCTTCTTTTACATAGATCATAATGCAGAACTCTAGATGAATATAAAAGACACATTTTAAAGTGATTGCAAAGGGTATTTTTTAAAATAATAAACTTTATGCCTACCTTCCCTGTGCAGTGGTTTTACATAGAGCAGCGCCGATCCTCCTCTTCTGGGGTCCCCCTGCTGGCGCTCCTGGCCCCCCCTCTTCTCGGTGTACTACCATAGAAAGACACTTCCTATGGTAGCGAACCTGCAGGCTCAATCCTGAGCCATACTGCCTGCATCTATAGACACAGACAGTGTGGCTTGATGCCGCCCCACGCTCCCTCGTCACATGATTTGATTGACAGCAGCAGTAGACAATGGCTCCCCCTGCTATCAATCTGTAAGGAGGGAGAGAGAAGAGAGTGTAATTTCAGGGGGTGGGGAGCTGAAGTTATACTCTGCAGAGCTCAGTGAGGAGAGTTCTGATAGCTGATTGGAGGGAAGGGACACACCCCCTTCACACAGCACACAGGAAACATTTTCCAAAATGTTCAACCTTTTTTTGTTTATATCGTATAATAAAAAAGCAAAAACCCAGTGGTGATCAAATACCACCAAAAGAAAGGTCTATTTGTGTGAAAATAAAATGATTAAAAATTTAGTTTTGATACAAAGTAGCATTACTGTGCAATTATCAGTTAAAGTAGCACAGTGCCAAATAGTAGAAAATGGTCTGGTCATGAACGGGGTAAAACCTTCAGTAGCTCTCCAAGAAGAGGATTTTTGTGTAAAGACTTGTACATAGTTCAGGAAGATTATCCTCAGTTACAGTTCCATTGGGCATCCTGTACACCCCTTACCCTATCCAATCCCCTAATATAATCACAAAAACAAAGCTCAAGGACTGGTTACTGACTCTTGGATGCAAGTCTATGTGAAGATGCGTGTTGCCTGGCTGTGCAGGACTATAGCGGGACCAAAATATCTAGGGACTCCTAAGGAGGTATTGCTACACTTAAATTACTCAAGTAAAGTGTGAAAACTTTGTTATTGAAGTATAGAAAGCAGCAAGTGGTCACCAGGGATAACAGAAGTCTACAGCTAGTACGAGCAGCCTGTCATGAAGCATGTACCTGTGATAGGTGGGATGTCCTCTAGCAATGAGGAAGTTGTTGTCGGCACTCTCTGAGCAGTTCATCTCCCATATCAGCAGGAGCAGATCAGTACTGTAGAGGGTTCCCGACCTGGTCAGTGGTACAGATGAGGAGGACTTAACAGAGTACACATGAAGTCTGCGCTAGGAGCTTGGCAGGACTCCATTCCATTACTGCAAGTGAAGTAGCAGAGATGCACTGGACAGGTGGAGTGGACACCAGCTCATCACGCCCCTCCTAAGTGTAACAACTGATAGTGAAGGTGTACATTGACACGGAGATGGAGGTAACTGGAGTACAATT